CTGCCTCGCCCAGGAAGAGCACAATGATGGTGCCAACTTGGGCCAGTGAAGCAACGTCCTCCACAACTAGACTGAAGAACAAAAACGACAGCGACTTGTCTGTTCCCCTTCCCCCAATTCCCCACCGCTGTTCCCATCCCCCCAATTCCTCAATAAAAATATTTTTTTAAAAAATAACATTCAGGCTGCAGTCAAAATGGAAGAGAGTAGGTAAATGTGCTCACCTCCTCCCATGACCCCATCAAAATTACAACTAAATTACAGAACAATCAATTTGGAGAACCACCTGAAGACTAGCTTAACATAACTCCTATAACTAAGGATATAAAGAAGAGGCCACATTGAGACCGAATGTCAACTGTAATTGAAAAAATAATTTTAAAAAATTTTAATTAAAAATAACATTCATGAAGGATTGCCTTAAGGGTATGTGGCTCACACATTTCTCTAGATCTACGGTTCAACTTTTTCTGAGTCATGAATCTATTTAAGAATCTAATGAAACCTATGAATTTCTCCTCAGAAAAGATCACATATACATATATACCCAAAATTACAAACAGATGTCATTGGATTCAATTTTTTCATCCCCCACAAACTACATACACAGACCTCAGGTTAAGAAACTCCTATGCCAAGAAGGGGGGATTAGCTAAACCAGATATTAAAATGGTGTGACCCTGGTACATAAAAAAATGGATCAAGAGAAAAAATAGGAAATTCGGAGATAGTCCTAAATATATATATAGGAATTTAATATAATAAAGTTACAATTTCAAATCTATTCTCTGTGTTGTAACAACTGGATAGCCATCTAGAAAATGACTTGGGTTGATCCACACCTTATTAGGAAAAATTTGAAATGAATCAAAGATTTCCATGTAAAAATGAAACCATAAAATATCAGAATACACTGTGGTAAGGAATATTTTGGAAAGTAAATGAGACCTAAGTATGACACAAATCCCAGAAGCCAAAAAGGAAAAAAACAAATTGGACTACGTAAAAATAAAAATTTTCTAACTTAGCAAAAACCAGTGCATGCAATATCAGACAAACTGGGGCAAAGGTATTTATTTGCAACTCATGTTGCAGACTAATCAATAAAAGACCAACATTTCAATATAAAAGAGAATAAAGGGTACCAATAACTACCAGAAAAGGAAATAAAAATGGTCCTTAAATATATGTCAGGATGCTTCAATCTTATTCATAATAGGAGGAATGCAATTTTTTTTTAGTATTTAGAATAAAGGCAAGATTTATTCAATCTGAAGAAAAATAGGAGCATAGGAGAAATGCAATTTAAAACTACAGTGTGGGGCCGGCCGGGTGGCTCGGTTAGAGCATGAGCTCTGAGCAACAGCATCGCTGGTTCAATTTCCACACAGGCCAGTGAGCTGCACCTGAGCTGAGCTGCCAGCGGGCAGCCGGATGGCTCAGCTGGTGAGAGCGCATGCCCTTTACAACAAGGTTGCTGGTTCAACTCTTGTGTGGGATAGTGGACTGCGCCCCCCCCCACCCCCCGCACTGCAACTAAGATTGAACACAGCACATTGAGCTGAGCAGCCATGAGCTGCCGATGGGCAGCCAGATGGCTCAGTTGGTTACAGTGTGTGCTCTTAACAAGGCTGCCAGTTAGACTCCCGCATGGGATGGTGGGCTGCAGCCCCCCGCTGTTGCAACTGGATTTGGAACTGAGCTGCACCCTCCACAACTAAGATTGAAGGACAACAACTTGATGTGGAGCTGATGGATCCTGGAAAAATACAATGTTCCCTTCCCCAATTCCCCAATAAAATCATTAAAAAAGAAAAAACTACAGTGTGCATGATACATACACTGAAAACTACAAAACACTACTGAAATTAAGACCAAAATATACTAGGCCGGCCGAGTGGCTCATTTGGTTAAGGGCTTGCTCAAGAGTGCGAGCTCTGAGCAACAGGGTTGCCGGTTTGATTCACGGCCTGAGCTGAGCTGCCAACAGGTGGCAGGATGGCTCAGCTTAAAAAAAAAAAAAAAAGACCACAATATACTGAGAGAGATACCATGTTTGTTGATCAGAAGACTCAGTATTACTAAGATGTCAGTGCTCCCCAAATTCATCTAGAGATACAATGCAATCACAATCAAAATGCCAGAAAGCTTTTCTGTTAAAATTATCAAATTCATAATAAAACATTACCTCTATGGAAATCTAAAGGACCTACAATAGCTAAAATAACTTTAATAAGAATAAAGTTGGAGGACTTACAATACCTAGTCTCAAGATTTATTATAAAGCTACAATAATCAAGACTGTTTTATTGGCATAACGATAGACAAATAGTTCATTGGAACAAAACAGAGCCAAGGCAATTCAATGGTTTCTCCATCTCAATAAGCTTTTCAACAAATGTTGCTAGAACAACTGGTAGCCATATGCAAAATAATGAACCTTAGTCCTTACCTCACATATTAAAAAATTAAATCAAAATGGATCATAGACCTAAATGTAAGAGTTAAAACAATATAACTTCTAGACCACAGGAGAAATCTAAATGACTCTGGATTTGGCACAGATTTCTTAAATATATCAAAAAAGCAAAAGCATCAATAAACTGGACTTCATCAAAATAAAAAACTTTTGCACTTCAAAACATACTGCTAGAAAAATGAAAACCAAACCACATCCTGAGAAAACGCATTTACCTGAAAAGGACTTGTAACTAGACTATAGAAAGAACTCTTGGAACTTAATAAGATAATCTAATTTTTTTTAATGGGGAAAAGATTTGTACAGATAATTCACCAAAAAAGATGTATGGATGATAAACACATGAAAATATGCTCAATATCATTAGTCATTAGGGAAATGCAAATTAAAACCATAATGAAGTACCATTACAACTCATTTAGAAAGACTAAGAGACAAATCATAAGATTAATCACACCAAGTGTTGTAGAGGATATAGAGAACTGGACCCCTCAAATACTGCCGATGGGAATGGAAAATGCTGGCAGAAAAACTGTTTGGCATGCCTTTTAAAAATATTCTTACTAGCCAGTCTACTTCTAGATAGTTGCCCAAGAGAAATTAAAGAATATGTTCATACAACGTCTTACACACAAATGTTCATAGCAGTTTTGTAATAGCCCCAAAACTGGGAACAACCCAAATGTCCATCAACGGGTGACTAGCTAAACGAATTGTGTTACATTCATACAATGGACTACTTACTACTCAGCAATAACAAGAGAATTACCGATACACACAACATGGGTGAAAGAAAGGAGCCATACAAAAAAGAGTATATAGTATGATTCCACTTGTGTAAGTCATGTGCAAACTAATCTATAGTGACAGAAGGAGATCAGTGGTTCCCCAGAGATTGTCAAACAATCAGACCAAAAAACCAAAACCAATAAAAACAAAACCAAACGACACTTACCAGTAACACAGATGGCTTTGTAAAGCAAATAAATACTCATTGAAACTTTCAATGGGCTTCTCCTGCAGCACATAGTCAATGCGCTGGCCTCCATTCAGCATTCCCACATTGATGGGGGGGACTTCTTCTTTGACTACCACCGAGGTCTCTTCTGTGTTAACTTCTGGATATGCAGGAACAATAATAAGACCCTAAAAGCTTCCAGCGGTCAAACGTTGTCCCTCTCCTCAGACTCCAAGTTAGATGCACGCTCTATCAGGAAGCTCTCCCCCATCTTCCTGCTCTCAGTCCCTTAAAGCTTCTCCTCAGGTCACAATGATTTTGTCTAATCCCTTTTTTTTCTTTCCTACACCTTTGATAGCTAATTAATTTGCCTTTGGTTTGTAAACTAAATACAAGCAGGGATAAAACTCTATAGGCAGTTGAAAACTAAATCGAAGGAATGCAATGTCATCTGTGGAATTAAGAGGAGAGTATCCTAGCCACTCCCCAACCAGGAAAATAAAACTGACCTATGAATGCCCAGACATGCCCCTTTAAAAGCAAGGTGCTTCAGAGGAGGCTCTTTACATCACCCCCATCGTTCCCAAGCAGGGGATGTTTTAAAGCCTCATTACCAGCTGCTCAGCTTCTCTTGACACTTTTCCTCACAAATAATATTTTTCTATAATATGGGCTATTTAATGATAGAAAAGGCTACCAGAGCTGAAGGCCCATTAGGACTCATATAGTATTGGTCCTATACAATAAAAGGGCAAAGTAAGAAGTCCTTGGGAGGGTAAGAATTGCACGCCATGGAGTGCCTCTTATCTGGCCTGATGTAGGAAATCAATGTGTACAGTGTCACTGACCACTAGGCTTCTCTGAACTTGGTTCAGGTTCTGCTTCAGCTTCTTCTGCAGTCTCTGAAGCTTGTAAGGCAGGATATTGTGCTCTGGTGAAAGACTTCCAGGCCATCCGCAGCGAACCTAGCAAGTTGTTCTTAAGGTCCATACTCACCCTGGTCCACCCTTCTCTCAGTTCTGAAACACATATGAACAAAGAACATTACATGGTTTACAATGAGTTTAGGGTCCAACACAACTTAAACAAAGTGAATGAGGCCCAGTCAGTTTGCACTGACCAGAAGGTCTGGAATTATCAAGTTCTGTACTCAGTCTTACCTAAGTGCATCCGCTTCCTGCCTTTATGATGTGGAATCAGCATTGGCTCAAATTCCACTCCTGGAACCACCATTGGTTCAATCCTATAGGCCACAGGATCAAACTATACAGGAAAAACAATAGCTACATATACCTCTGCTGAAGAAAGATACTCTGAGGAACTGTGTATCAGGCAAGAATAATTATAAGCTCATTTAAAAAAAATGTACATTTCTGCCCCATCACTTCCAGATTCATACTATTATAAATTATCTCATTACTACAGTATAGTGTATAAAAAAGTAAATCAACACAACAGAAAATCATATGCTCTTTACCATTAAACACTAAATTCAGGTAAAACCACAAGAGCTGTCAATGCTTACAGGATGATAAATATTGAAGAAACCTTTGCATGTTGGAAATTTGTAGCTGGGATCAATTCTTTTTAATCCTCGGACAGTAAGGAACATTCCAATGGGAGATCCAAAGGCAAAGAATATTTCTGGTTTATAGATGAGCCGGGGGTATTTTACAGACACCTGAGAGGAGAAAATAGAAGCATCTCTCATTAATAACAAAAGTTACTTCTGTTCATACCATACAAATGGCAGGCAATAAAAGGACTAAAGAGAATCAGTATTGTTACCTGCCCAATGCCAACATCTAGATAGTCATCATTTCCAGCACCATCAGTACTACCGCAGAACTCTGATTCTTTGGGGATATTACACATATTCACCCCTGAAGATGACTGCAGACTTGGTCTAGAAATACCCTAAAGAACAAAAAGTAGTTCTGTGGAGCTGCTATGTAGTAAAAATATCCAAAGGATTATATAGTTTTCTACTGGTTTGAAAATATGCTTGGAGACGTTTTGAAATGATAGCCAATTCTAGGAAGCGTCTCAGAAAACAAGATAAAGCTGAGGAAAACGAAAGTTGCCTTAAATTATGAATTGATATCCCTACATGATCTAAAATGATGTAAGCTGTACACAGCCACTTGGGCAGCGTTGAAACTTTAGGCAACCATCAGGAGAGGAAACAATAGTGGAGCACTGTGGAAAAGAATGCTGAGGACTGCTAAGGAGTTCATGAAGCGCTATGCCTTTCTAATTAAAGTAGAACATCTCTTGTGGATACCCAAGATGCAAATAATGAGCCTTAAATAAGATCTGAGCAACCTGCTAAAGAATTGAAAAATAATTAACTACAGTAAAACTATGGATTGCGAGTATCTTGGTTTGCAAGTGTTCCGCAAGACGAGCAAACATTCCTAATACATTTTAACATGGTAAACGAACGATGTCTTGCAATATGAGTAGTTTGTTTCTGAAACGAATTATGTTCACAAACCAAGGTATTACTGTACGCAGATTTGGAAAGGAATTCAGTGGCCAACAAACCAAATGTACAAGTAGTGTTACAACATGGACAAACACTGTGTACCTTAGGCTAAATGAAAGAAGCCAGTTATAATAGGCTATATATCATTATGATTCCACTCACATGAAAAGTCCAAAATAAGAAAATCCATAGACAGAAAGTAGATAAGTGGTTCACACGAGGGAACAATGGGAAGTGACTGCTAATGGATATGGCGTTTCTTTATGTGGTGATAGAAACATTCTGGAAGTAGATGGTGGTCATGGTTACATAACTCTCTGAACATATTAAAAACAACTGAACTGTATACTTTTAAAGGGAAAATTTTAGGGCCGGCCGAGTGGCGCATTGGTTAAGAACTGGGTTGGGACGCCAGAGGGCCCCGGTTCGGATCCCACATGAGGGCCAGTGACACTGCCCTCCACAGCTAAGATGCTGAACAACAGCTCAACCTGGAGCTGGGCTGCCGTGAGTCGCCGGCGGCAGCATAGGCTGCAGCCCCTGTTGCATTGGGTTGCCATGGGCTACCGTGTGTAGCCAGCAGCCAATATGAGCGGCCGGCCAGCAGCCGCCATGAGCGGCCGTCCAGAAGCCGGCAACAGATCTGCCTCGCCCGGGAAGAGCACAATGATGGTGCCAACTTGGGCCAGTGAAGTGACGTCCTCCACAACTAGACTGAAGAACAAAAGGACAGCAACTTGTCTGTTCCCCTTCCCCGATTCCCCAACGCTGTTCCCTCCCCCAATTCCCCAATAAAATCTTTTTTAAAAATTTAAAAAATTAAAAATAAAGGGAGAATTTTATGGTATGTGATATTTCAATTAGTTATAAAACAGAAAAAGGGAAAAAAATGAAATAGGAGGAATCAAGGAAAGATAAGACTTCTGAAGCTAATAACATTTTTAAGATATCAATAAACATGCTTTATTTCTAAAAAGAGCCAAAGATCAATTAACAAAATTGTTTAGCACCCTAGACCAAACATCTCACAAAGCACAAGGATACAAGGCTGTCAAAAATTGTTTAATCCTATAAACTATATTAAGCACATACCATTGAATGTTTTCTGGTCCTAAAGTAGTTTAATATCTTCTTTCTTGGTCCTAAGGGAATTCCCATTTCCTGAAGATCTTTGTCTGTACATAAAGCCTAGGCATAGAAAATTAAGTATCTTTCTTATTTCTAGGAAGAATAAAATCAATTAAATGACCTGTTCTCTGAAAAGATTAAGATGTAAACACTTTGTTGTTCTTGCTTTATATTACTAGGGCTCCCTAGTGGTACATCATTAATAACTTAGAGAAGGAAAAATATTTTATTCATAAAAGAGCCTAAAGAAGAATAAAAAATAATCATACTACAGTATCAATGCTATAGTTAATATAGGTAATAATGTATTATTGCTATAAAAAAACCTACAGAAGTAGGCTTTTCACTTCAAGACTTCCATACTCCCTTGATTTCTATGCTCACTTGGATGTCACATTCCTGAGAAAGATTATATTCTGACTCATGGACACAAGCAATAAGAACATACAGCAAACACAGAGCATGAAACAGACTAACGATCCCGCTGAAGTGCTCCTCACCTGATTAGGGACGTCTTCCTTCACCCTCCCTGACTAGATTAGCTAATTCTATTATACATGCTTATACCACTGTGTACTTTTCCTACTTAGAACTTACCACAATTGTAAATAATTATGTGTTTGAGTAAATAATTATGTGTTTGAATATTTAATATATGTCTTTTCCAGTAAACTATAAACACTATGAGGTTAGGGACCATATCTGTCTTATTCACCACTCTATCTTCAGTACTTGGTATAGTATGTCTGATTATAGTAAGCATTTACTAAACACTTGTTGAATGAATGTATCGCAAACCTGAAAAAAAAAAAACACAGCTAAAGTGGCAAAAAAACAAAAACAAATAAACAAGCAAATATCAACAGTAGAGCTCTTGAAAGTATAACAGGAAATAAAAATTGGAATAGTTATTCTTCCTCTCATGATTTCTGAGCTGTGCTGTTTTATAGTCTTTATTGCTATATGTTTAGCAATATGGCTCCTCTGAACTTTGAACTCCCACAAAGCAAAGATCACTTGATATGATAAAAAACACATAAATAATGCTAAAGAACACTACTAATGATAACAAAGTATTTATGACTAAAATGCTTCTAAAGGGCAGGCTCTTAGTAAGCAGTATGGTGAAAATAAACAATAAAAATACTGAATATGATATAGCATAAAGTTTTAAAAGATTTTTACCAGAGCTTCCTTATCTACTTTCTCCTTCTCAAAGATACTAAAGAATTCAGAGAGTTGAAGTTTCTTCAGCTCTTCCTCTAGCGTTGGTGTGTCTCCTTGATCCATAACAATATTTGGCGAATCCTAAAAATTAAATTGTAAAGCTCATATTCTCTAAATTCATTTATCTTTTCCTTTATTAATACTATTTTGCAATTTAAAAACGTACTATATAAGATTCCCACATAGAGATGTATCTTTAAATAAATTGTAATTTACACAAAATATAAATTAAGAGATACTGATCTCTAGGTTTTTGCAACTTCAGTTGAAACAGTATGTTTTTAAGTAAATGAATGAATGAATGATTATCGAAGTATTTTTCATTATCATTAACAAAACATTTACTGAGCTCTTATTAGGGAAATAATATTTATGATGTAAAACAATCTAAGACAAAGCCCCTGCCCTGTAAGAACTAACAGTCCAACAGGAGAAATATGACACTTACATAAAAAAAGAAAAAAATACAAGACATTACATGCTAAGTACTAATTAAGCACTATAGATAAGTGTTCACAGGACTTTTTTTCACTAAGAGATGTTTAAACATCAAGTCCTTCCACTGCTTTCAAACAGGATTTTCTATAAATTATATCAATTTGCATTCAACTCATTATTCATTTCATCATATGCAAACTTCATTTCAGCTCAAAGATTTTATAATTCTAATAATAGACCAGTAGTGCATATTCATAATGGAAAACAAGATATGTATAGTTATTTTAGAATGTGCCAAACATTAGAAGTATATTACTACCTTGCTCCTATCACCCAAGAATGACAGATAATTACAAGTCTGTTAAAATTAAAATAAATATAAATTTAATGTTATGGTATAAGATTAAATAAACTAAGTGAAAAACAAAAAATAAGTCTAAAATCTAAAATTCCTTACTAAGAAAAACTACAAGAGAACCTATCTAAACATCTAAATTACCTTTTCACTGTCAATATCCCCCAAAGAATCTTTCTGATTTGTTAGGATATCAAACAATATAAGCGAACCTATAAGTAAAATAGAAGAAAGAAGGGACAATGTCTAAGCATTAACACTAGATAGCTGTCTTTTACATAAAAAAGTAATAAGCCAATTACCCATGTAGCAAAATCTACGAAGCTGGGAATCTTTCTTTCCAGTCCACCACCACCCTTCCAACCCTTCCAAATCCCAGACCAGTTCTAGACCACTGAATCTGATACTGAAAAAAAAAACAAAAATTTTGTACTTTAAAAACAGGTGTCCTAAAAATGTGATAGTCCTCTCTGGTTACAGAGAATTCATTTGTTACCTAAACTATGACCAGCAATGGATACACCCCCTTTGAAATCAGGGTTCCTCTGCAGAAAAAGTGTATATATTCTGTTCATTTCAGAAGCAACTGTGTCCACAATAGTCTGACAGTAGGTGGGGCTATTGTAGAAGAAGACATCCAGAATTGTGTCATTGGTGAAGTGCCTTAGGCGGTTAATGCTCGGCAGGGTTATTCGCTGCAAATCTCTGAAAAAAGGAAAAATATTTTAAGCAGAAACCTAAATACATTCCATAACCTCCTCTAAGTTATTATCCAGCTTAGCCTCCAAGCTTAGACTTAGATATTTAAAGATACAAGAGGGGAGTATCAATTTATGGGAAATACAGAGGACAGAGAGCCATGTTTAATGAAGCCAAAGGGATGTGATCAACAAAATTCAGTGTGAAAAGCTCAATAAGACAACTCAGTTTCTTCAATACATAAATTGCAAGAAAATAAGAGATGGAAAGGTAATCAAGAGGTTGAAAGAGACTTAAAGACATATCAACTAATTGTAATTTATGGACCTTATTGGATCCCAATTTAAAATGTATGTATGTATGCATTTGTGTTTGTTTGTGTGTGTGTGTGTGTGTGTGTGTGTGTATAAATGACATTTATTAGACAATTGGAAATTTGAACACTATATTTGCTGATATTAAGAAATTTTTTAGGTGTGATAATGGCATTATAATTATATTTTACTAAAAGTGCTTTAAGGTATACAAACTGAAACATTTTAGATGAAATGATATCTATGATTTGATTCAAAGATAATACGGTGGAGGGATGGGCAGTAGACAGGGGTATGACAATATGGATGGGGCAGAACTGGCCATGTGTGAAGGCTCGCTGGAGCTGGGTAATCATAATCAGTACATGATGATTCATTATATATGCTACTTTTGTGTACAGAATTCTCTATAATAAAAAGTTTTAAAAAAGAAAAGATACAAGAGGCTTTCCTTAGAATTCTCAGCATTTCAGCTTTTTGATCACAAGTCAAATGGTAAATGGGATCAGCTCTCAATGCAGAATTTCTAAAAGCTGAAAGAAGGTGAGACTGCTAGATGCCAAAGGCAAACAGAACTCGGGTCTCACAAAAGAAAACCATGCTGACATTATCTAAATCAAGCTCCAGTTAAAAGTTTCTCCAAATTCCCAGGAAGATTCCTCAAAAATTCAACAGTTTCTGTAGTTTAGAGAGGTCTATGTGACCTTAGTCATCTCTGAGCATCAGCTCAAATATGAAAAAATGTGAACTCCATACCTAGTAAAAGCAACATGGCAATGGAGCATGTGGCATATGGAATATGCTCAAATCATAGGGCATTAAGAACTGAGAGACACAGAATCAGGAAAGCCATTTCCAAGACCAGCATGGAAATAATGCTACTTCCTTTGTCTTCCAGAGGAGCATCTCCTAATTGCATCCTAGAACTGTATTATGGCCACACTTCTTTCTGGAGAGCCCATAGTTGAATATACTTAATATAAGACAACCTTCTCTGATATTACCATAAAATTTACAAACAAAACTATTGGACTTGTAACTTAAGAAAGCCATCACTTAAAAGTTGTTGTACCAATTATAACTTGTTATAAATGCTAATAATGTAAGGTTGGGGGACTTCCTTTTGTTTCCCAAATTTGAACAAATACTATCTAAATATGATCACAAAAGGAAAAACAAAATACTGTGTATATCTTGAGATAGGTTGGCTTTTGACCTCTGAAGACGGAAATGCTTATACACTATAGGAAGAAAGCAATGTTTGGCTTTAACACTAAAGCAATAATAAAGCTGTAATAGTAAATGCTAATGAGCTAGTAAAACATACTAGAAGAAAATACATACAGCTCTTTATTCCTAACTTGGATTAGTTAGCATTTAATAATGTATCTCTAAGAAAAAGGCACAGAAGTACAAAAAACTTTTTGCTGAACAAAATTTTAAATATACAATCAATCAGCTATAGCAGAAAAGTCCCTAAGCATATCCATGATCAGAAAACATTCCAAACACAGTTAACAACTCAAAGGTGTATGGTATTACTCACACATCCACACCAGTAGAATGCAAAGGACTGTGCCAGTTGACAGGAAGAAATTCTACCCTTCCAATCTGCTGATTTTCTTGGGCTTTCTTAAAATGTGTTTGTAGCAGGCTCAAGGAAACACTGCGAAAATCATTAACTGGAAAAGAAATTTAACTTATGTATCAACAGTGAAGCAATGAATTTGCAGAATTAAGATACAACAGATCAGAAAATTATACTCTGTCTACATTTGCTTAAAACATGTTTACTTGAGTCAAAAAGAGCAAAGTGGTATTCAGAAAAATTATCAATATATACAGGAAAAGCTGTTCCTTTAATATAGAACTTGCTTTTTTTTTTTTTAAGCTGAGCCATCCTGCCACCAGTTGGCAGCTCAGTAGCCGCTCAGCTCAGGCCATGAATCGAACTGATGACCCTGTTGCTCAGAGCTCGCACTCTTGAGCAAGCTCTTAACCAACTGAGCCACTTGGCCGACCCTAGAACTTGCTTTTACTATACAAAATATTTCATCAAAGAAAAAGCTAACTTCAAAACTTCTAATGTGTCATGGAAACTGTTTCAATTAAAAATTGGGGGCCAGCCGAGTGGTTCAGTTGGTTAAGAGTTGGCTTAAGAGCGTGAGCTCTGAACAACAGGGCCGCCGGTTCGATTCCCACATGGGCCAGCTGCACCTGAGCTGAGCTGTCGCTGAGCTGCCAACAGGTGGCAGGATGTCTCAGCTGGTGTAACAACAAGATTGCCTGTTCGATGGTGGGCTATGCCCACCTGCAACTGAGACTGAACTTGGCACCTTGAGCTGAGCTGCTGCCCGGATGGCTCAGTGGATAGAGCGTGCACTCTTAACAACAAGGCTGCTGGTTCAACTCCCGCATGGGATGGTGGTTACGCCCACCCACAACTAAGATTGAACACAGCACCTTGAGCTTAGAGGCCACGAGCTGCCAACGGGAAGCCAAATGGCGACTGGTGCCCTCCACAACGAAGACTGAAGAGCAACAACTTGGCTGGTCCCCCTCCCCAATTCCCCAACACTGTTCCCCTCCCCCAATTCCCCAATAAAATCTTAAAAAAAAAAAAATTGGCCTTACAGTCAGATTCCTATTCTAACTTTCTGGTCCTTATAAATAACCACTACCTAATATTTTAGATTAAGAAAAAAAAATACACACTGCTGTTTGAAATTCATATTACATCAATATTAACCCTCTAAGAAGGTATTAATGCTTAGAAGCATTAGCTAGTAAGATAAGACTCCCAAGTTAGGACAATTAGACTTTGAATACTACCAAGTTTTAGAGGATATTATAATATTACCTTTCAAAATCAAGTTATACTAATGACCTAACTATTCCAATTAGAATATGAAGAGGTTTACCACAGTATGAATTACAAAAATGACTGAAGCTTCTGTTATTCATTTAAACTATGTCATTTTACAGTCCCTTTAAACTTGGAATGGTTAGACATAGGATCATCACATCATAAAACAATTTTATAAGGATTAAGTGCTTGTTCACTCAAGAATTATTAACTAAGAGTATACACTATTAGCCTAAGGAATTTACTAGTACTTTAGGTCTAAGCTGAAAAGCTTTACTACCTTGCCACCTGTCTTTAGCTCTCCAAATCCTCTTATGCAGCTAAGACAACAAACTAAAGACAATACTATCTCAGCTCACAGGAGCACTGACTGATATTCCCCTTAAATGATCTAATCTTATATGCTTTGCAAACTTACCACACTGTACAATGCTTCGAAAGCGGAGATCACAAGCTGGTCCAATCCCATGGACTACAAAAACCAAGTGGTCTATTTGTAAAGGTTCCCCTATAAATGAAATTAAAAGAAAAATTATTCTACATAAATAATCATTATTCTAAAATCAAACATTCACAATGAGTAGGTTATAAAGATAGTGAAGTTAAAATATAAGCAGATAATTTAAAGGACACAAAATAGTCCTATATATAACTACTTAGTAAAAATACAGTGATTTTACTTTGTTTCTAGTTTATCTTAAATTAAGTCTGTGAGAAAATTTTTCAGGTTTCTTTAAACTTTTTACTTTGAAATACATAACTGCAATCTTACAGAAAACTTGAAAGAATAGTACAGAAACTCCCATGTACTTTTTACAGATTGAACACTTTAACGTTTACCACATTTGCTTTATTATTCTCTTTATATGTATGTGTATACACACATATTTAGTTTTCTGAACATTTGGTACATCACCAGATTGTACACATACCTCTCTATAACCCTTTAATATTTTAATGTGCATTTCCTAAGAATATTCTCTTACATAACCACAGTATAGTTATCAAATTCAGGCAATTTAACATTGATAAAATAATTTTACCTAATACTCCACTTTTATCAATCATACCAGTAATGTCTGGTATGTATTTGAAGTCTGAAATTTTAAACCCATCTTTTTAAATTATAATAAGTCTAAGACCTCATCCAAGATACAGCTATCGCTTCTGCAAGATAAAAGGAATTTCATTATCCAGTTAAATATATTATAAAACCAACCATAAATGACACTAGCTAGCAATGGATAACCACCAAGGTCCTACTGAAAAACAGTTTTCCCTAGTTGAAAATCTTCAACAACAGAAATTACCAAGACTAAATTTCTAATCAAACAGGTAGAATCACACTTCTTAGAATTAGGACTAAATCAGTTCATTTGTATTTAGTGAATTCCTGATTAGTACTGCCAAGTTTTACACATCACACCATATAGTCTTAGAAACTTTAAAAAAGATTTCTATATCTATTAAGATTCTTAGGAGATAAAGTGATGCTAATCTTAACGCAGAATAAGTTCATATAACTAACGATCATTTTTAAGCCTTGAGGTAATCCAAATCCATAGAAAAAGGTCATAATTTAAGTCGTAAATTAATGAGTATACCAGAAGAAAAAAAAAATGATTAACATTACCACAATGAATGTCAACAGAGATGTTCTCAACTCCTCTTTTCACTGTTCTTGGTCGACCCTGCTCAGTGGGTGTTGAACCCCATTCATCAGACCCTGCAACTGGCTGGTAATGTACCATAAGCTTAAATAGAAAAAATCAGAGCAATGAAGACATTCTACATTAAAGACATCTCTGAGGGGCAGGAACATGTCTTTCAAAACATAATACATAGTCAAATCTCAACTGGAGTTTTGATAATGGAACTCCTACAGCTTGAAATGAGAACTCTGAAAATACATTAGGCTAACGTACACTTTTAAAATCTTATAATTTTATTTGTCAATTATACCTCAATAAAGCTAAAAATAAAAGACAAAATATATCAGGCTAAAAGACTTTCAACAATACCCTACACATGGAAGACATGCCACATAATGCATCAGTGATATTCTGTATCTACAGTGGCATAATTTTCCCTAAGAAAATTCTTGTATAAACTAAAGAAGGTAAATAATAATAATGGCTACAAGTTTTAAGTATCATAATTGTGAATGTAATATACAAATTCCCAAAGGTTATCCTAAGTAGACGCTAGGAAAAAGAAACCAATTAAGTTCTTAGTAATGCTATTAACCTTTAATCCCAACATTAGAGAAAGGCTTTTAATTTGCTTTACCTTTGGATTGTGTAATATAATAATTTCTCTGTTGGGAGACTCCAGTTTCTTTTTCCATTCATCCAGAGTTACAGCAAGCATGTAAGTTTCCTTAAAAGAAAAAACATTTCATTAGATTTCTCTTATAGCTTTTCTATTGAAATTAAACTTTTTCACAAGAATACTGTTAGATAAACAGTTATAATACAAATATCCTACTCCAATTTATCAATTTTATTTTTAAATTCTTTTAAAATTACAATAGATAATAGTATAGGACAAAGAAAGGGCATCACTTCTAACATCTAGACTGGCGGTGAAAGCTATTCACATTTTGATATATTTCTTTCAATAACAATTAATGCATGTAGTTTTCCTCAAAATTAGGACTGTATTACATATATAGCTCTTTACCTAGATTTACCAAATTTATTTTTAAATTCTTTTAAAATACAATAGATAATAGCACAGGACAAAAAAAAATTGTTCCTCATTCCATCTTACATGTGGCTCTGAAGTAAAAAATTGAAAATGAAAATAAAACTATCATAGTTTCATTTATAAAATTTTTAAAGGATATTGTTTACATAATGGTGATATCATTTGTTTTACAGGTCTTGCAAAACTTCAAGGGACAGGATTGGCTCTTCTGTCTCAAAAGTTTGCCCAATCCCTGGTCTAGACTAGAGATAATCATTGTTCACATTTTGATATATTTCTTTCAATAATATTAATGTCCCACTCCAACTTAAAGAAAGCAAATTTCAGATTGTTTTCAGAGCAAGAAAAATAAAAGGAAAAAAAAATCCTGTGGTCATAGTTTAAATATTAACAATGATCATTATTGGGGAAAAACATTTTTAACTTAAATCACAACAATTTCCATAGTTAATTTTAAAATATGAAAATAAAACTCCTTTATCTGAAACTAACTTGCAAAAAGAAATGCTATAAACTTTGATGTAGATAGAACCAAACTCTTTCTAGAAATTTCACAAAATAAGTCACAAAAGGAAGAAAAGTCAAAGAAAGAAAAAAAATTTTTTTAATGTGTAAAAATGGGTCAAAGGAATACCTCTAATACTTGGCTGAAGCTCTCCGAATAGGGAACATACTTATTATCTTTGTCTCCCTTGTAAAACCAAGTACATCGTCTTACTTCTGATGCTAGCTCATCCCAGTATACAGCATACCGCATCCTCTCCCCCAAATGAACATCATATCGGCCCCCATCAGTGGGGACAACTCTCCCATTACAATCTTTTCCTATCAAGGATTGAAAAGAGGAAAAGAAGTACATATATCAAAATAAACATTCCAAAATACAGTTCTGAGTTATAATCTAAATAATGTTACGAAACACAAGAATGAACAAATTTCTACTTGGCTAAACATTAAACAAAATGGAACTGAATTAATATCTCTTTTTCACTATTTTCACAAACTGTCAAAACCATTTTTGGTTTTAATGAAATATGAAAAATATAATACCCAAACACTATTTTATTCTTTTTCTGAGGAGAGAGAGTGTCACTTAAAAAAAAAGTACGTAAGAAGGCTTTTCTGAATTTTTGCTTGAAGGATCCAAAAGGTAAATTAATGACCATGACCATCATGATGATAAAGTAGTAACGAGCATCATGTTTCATTAAAAAAGTGACAAGTTGAAGAATTCATTCTTTTTGCAATATGAATGTGACACTGCCTCCCCCACACTCTTTATAAACAAAAACTGAAATATAAGCTAGAACATAAATATTATTGAATCTATGCAGAAATTACAATAGGTACTATTTTCAAAATACAGACCAAATTCTTAAATCTTATAAATTGGCTGGGTAGTAATTCAGAGCTTCTATGGGGTTGTCGGAAAAGTCATGACGCATTTTTGCAACGACAAAAAGGAAAAATACATCATGACTTTTCCAACAACCCAATACATAAAAGTGCTATAGGTGGTAACTAGAAAGAAAATCTAAATTTCATTTTTAATAGCACTCACTATAAGGACTATTATAGTTTGAGAGAGATGACAGTCTTAGTCTATCACAAGTCATCATTTTCATCCTACCAGAGCCATATGCCTTTTCCAGCTGCTGTGAATCCTCAGAATTGAAAGGAATCCATATCTCCTTAGAATCTATTATTTTACAATAAAACCAATGAGGGGAAACTGGTTCATACAAACTGCCAGCATCCATGTCTAATAGCTCAAAAGAACTACATGAGTTTGGTGATGGGGATGGATCTGATTGGGTGGCCTGTTCCTGGTGTGATTCCACTGATGACATTTCGCTCTCTAAAAGACAAAAGAAAACTATCAGAAAACTCTCTAAAAGACAAAAGAAAATTATTTTCCTTCTATTAACAGTGTAATTGCACGCGCGCGCGCGCGCGCGCACACACACACACACACACACACACACACACATACACACACACAAACTAGTCACTTTAAGGAGTCATTTCTAAAACAAAAACAAAAACCAACAATCTAAGGGGGCTCCACATTTTAAAACAGAAAAAAAAAATAACATAATAGTTACATTTAGGGGGCGGAAGAGAGGGCTTTAAACAAAATGCTTCTTGTAGTCAGACCAACCATTTTGTACTGACCTCCCAATTCTCAGAAAATTGCACGGTTTTAATAAGACAACAAGTTATAAAACAAACCCAAAAGCACAAGAAACACATGGTCAAAAACTTGATTGCAACAAAACACTTGAGCCAATTTCCAATCTAAGTCTAGTGCCAAAGGCAAAAAAGTTACTCTGTCTTAATAACACCGAGGTTTTAGGCTCCAGGCCCCTAACATTACACAATTACATGATTACTGGAATCTTAAAATATTGAAAATAAAACTATTCACTTAAGAACCAGTTACTTTTTGTTGATCCTTTAAGTGTGCTTAATTAGGACTGTGTTCCTAATGCTGAAAACACAACCTTGCCTGGGGACACTTGCGCAAGCGCACACCCACTGACACCGTCCACAATCAGGTAAGAAGTTAACAGGTGAAAGCCTCCTTCCCTCAAAGACGACTCTGACCTATGTGTTTCTACCCCTTCAACATTTAGATCATCAGCAAACCTAACACTGCAGACATCAAAAGTATAGTCAAACTCCTCTGAGGGAAGTGCGCACAGTTACCGGTGTCTCAGGCGGAGGGATGGCAAACACCTGGCCTCCTGCGAGAACGCTCTCCAGGCTTTCGGCCACTTGACCTTTTTTCCTAGCACAAATTTACCTCAGCCACCTGTCCCTTCTCCCACATGACTCCGGGCCTCCTGCAGCCCAGATCTGGGACCCGAGAACTCGAGGACTTGCCTAGTCCCGCCGAAAGGCGCAGGGCCACCAATGGAAACAAGGTAATTTGGGGCGCCGTTGTTAAAAGGGAGCCCGGGCCGCTTCCCTGGAACCGAAGTCATCCCCACCCCACCGCGGCTGGTCCTCCCACCACCCCGTTTCCTCCCTGCCTCCGGCATCGCGTCCTCCTCCGTCCCTGACATCTGCATCCCGCAGTGCCTCCAACCCGCACCCAGATCGTACCTCCCACAGTCCAGCCTCCGACCCCAACACGCCATCGCGGACTCACCTGGCAGTCCCGCTGTCTTCCACGCTCTTCTGCCCCCGCTGAGAGGGGCACGACATCCCGCGGCGGCCTTTACCCCGAGCCTAGGCGGGGCGGGGCGGGGCGGAGCGTGCGGCTCCGCCAGGCTCGCGCCCACACTGGGCTCCACCGCGCTCCCAGCGGGCGAGCAGCGGGCCAGGGTGCCGAGAGCAAAGGTGAGGTGTCTGGGACCGCGACACGAAAGCGTCGGATGGAGCGAGAACGGCCTGAAGGGAACTGCCAGGAAATGTCGCGAGATGTGGAGGGAATCACGCGAGATGTGGCTCCTCCTTGCGGGCAGGGAGCCGCAGCGCCGGGCTTGCGGGTCAGACGGGCGGCCTGCCCTCTGCTCTGAGCCAGCACGGGGTCTGAGGCCAGAGGTCTTTAGGAGGCAGGGATGCGGAAGACATCGTCACTGTAAAGCATTTTGAATTTCAGTAAAAGGAAGCAGGAAAGCCCAATCTCCTCACTTAATAGATGGGAAAACAGGCCTCCTGACCCGCTGATACTCTGGCTAACCCTTATCCTACTAAAGGGCCAGGGATAGTGCGGGAACCCACGGGAGACGCAGGGGTGCCACGCCCCCGTGAAAAATAGGATGATAGGGAGCTAGCAGCAGACCGTCACTTCTGGATTATGAGGGGAGTGGATACAGTTCGCATTTGCAAGGAAAAAAAGTTTATCTCTGGGGCTTTGCTCACTCATTCTTGAGTTTATTAGGATTTAGAAGCTGCCAAAACGTAACTCTAAAAGATGGAGAGGTGAGCTTGACACGATTTAAAAGCTGCAAGGGAGGTTGGAGATGAGATATTTTTGTCCAAACAAGATGACATACTGAGGTGAAAAGTTTAAACGAATTTCCCACAGTCATGAAGCTGAGTAAGTAGCCTTGCCTGGCTCTCCTGAGTATTAAGTTTTCTGGAGTATTAAGTTGGCTCTCCTGAGTACTAAGTTTTCTGGAGTATTAAGTTTAAGTCTCAATTCTTTTGGGAGAATAATTGAATAATAGGACACTTTCCTGTTTCCTGACTAGATTATAGGGCAAGGGTTTAGGGAATACTTTTCAGTTTTATTTATTCAGAAACCGAAAGAGGGAATTTTTATAACTACCGTATTTCCCCATGTATAAGACGCTCCCATGTATAAGACGCACCTTAGTTTGGGGGCCTGAAATTTGAAAAAAGGTATTACATAAAGTTATTGAACTCAAGTTTTATTCATCATAAAATTCATACAACTCCTCATCACTGTCACAACTCCCATCCATTAGCTTGTCCTCATCTGTGTCTGATGACGAATCACTATCTTCATATATTGCCTTGTCCTAAGTTCCGTCTATGGCATTTGAAATCTACAACCATTGTATAAAACGCACCCAGTTTTTAGACCTCAAGTTTTTCGGAAAAAAAGGTGTATCTTATACATGGGGAAATATGGTAATTCTCCTATAGGTTAACAACCACACACAAATATCCACAAGTTTATTTATACCTTCTCAAATTTATAACACCTAAATAACTTGTTCTCTACAGAGGATGATTTGATGTCCCATTCTCTAGGATTTTGTCAGATGATTATCACCTACTATCATAGACTAATAATAGTAATTAGCATTTACTGAGCTCTTACTATGTTCTAGGTCCAGGTGTAAGTATTTCACAAGTATAATCCAATTTAGTCCTCCCAGCAACCTGATGAAGCAGCTACTACTATAATTATCCCTATTTGTGGGGTAAAATGACTCACCCAAATTCATACTACCAGCAAATAATAGAGGCAGGATTATAAGTGACTTACCTAAAATTGGAGTCAGTTAAGTGACAGAGCTGGAACTTAATTTTGGTTTTCTATCTCCAAAAGGCAGAACTGGAGCTTCAGTTTAGGTCCTCTATCCCCAATTCCCATTGTATCCTCTATATTAGCTATTTTCAATATTTTTTGTGTCAGAACCTCTTTACAGTCTATTGAGGACCCTAAAGAGTATTATTTAGGTAGGTTGTGTCTATCACTATTTACTGTATTAGAAATTAAAACTGAGGTTTTAAATATTAATTTTAAAATAACAGTAAAAAATTCATGTAAATATTTTTATAGAAAAATAACTATTTCCCAAAATAATTTAAAAACCAAAGAAAAGAATGACATGTTTCACATTTTTGTGAATTTCTTTAATGTCTGGCTTAATAGAAAACTGTTGGATTCTCATATTTACGTCTGCATTTAATCTGTTACAATTTTAGTTTTGGTTGAAGTATATGAAGGCAATCCAGCCTCACCCATCTATGTAGTTGGAGAAGGAAAACGTATTTTAATACTCTTTTAATAATTGTGGGTATTCTTTTTAATACTACACTAAAATTCAACAAATGTAGCTTCTTAAAAGTTATTTGCAATGTGAAATCTGAAAATATATCAACGACTTTTTCGTACTCTGATACATTAAAATCTATTGATCTATCTTGCAGTTTGAATGGATCTTTTACCCATAAATGATTTATAACATTATACGTTGGTCATTTGGAAAACATCAGTTCACTTGAGCTACACAGTCTTCCAAATGCCAACGTATTTCATTATACTATATATATATATATACATATATGTGTATATATATGTATATATATACATATATATACATACATACATATATATATGTATATATATATATATATGTTTTGTGTTTTTTTTAATTACCACCAATCTGAAAAAATGCTTCAGGTATTGGGAAGCTGTCAAGGTCATAGCAGATCAAAGTTTTCCAAAATTCTACTACTTTTTTCTTGGAGGGTCAGATTTTATCATTGGCAACAAATACCGTCAGTTGTTTTCCCTGAAGTGACAAGCTCACTTTGTTTTTGTTGGGATTCAGAAGAGCCACCTCAAGGTATGCCTCAGTGGTATGTGGATTGTTTTGAGCTAAAGGCAACTGAGAACCTGTGGACTCAACAGAAACTTCTCCCCTCCCCCCTTAACTATCTAGAGGAATTTGAATGAGGAGCCTTGCCCATAATAAGAAATTATCAGAGATAAACTTTTTGGACCTACCTATGTGGCAGGGCAAACTACTAATCACTGTACATGTGCTCTCCCTGCAATGACCTTCTTTTTATTATTATTAGTTTCAGGTGTACAGCATAGTGGTTAGGCATTTACATAATTTATGAGGTGATCCCCCTGATAAGTCTAGTACCCATCTGACACTATACAGTTTTTACAATATTATTGGCTATATTACCCATACTGTATTTCACCTCCCCATGACTGTGTCATAACTACCAATTTGTACTTCCTAATCCTTTCACCTTTCTCACCTGTCCCCTCAACCCCCAACCCTTCTAGCAGCCATCAGTTTATTCTCTGTATCTGAGTCTGTTTCTTTGATTTGCTTATTCTGTTCTTTAGATTCCACATAGAAGTGAGATCATATGGTATTTGTCTTTCTCAGTCTGACTTACCTCACTCAGCATAATACCCTCTAGGTCCATCCATATTGTTGCAAATGGTAAAATTTCATTGTTTATCGCTGAGTAATACTCCATTGTATGTACCGTATTTCCCTATAGATAAGACTCACCCTTTTTCAAAAAATTTGGGGTCTAAAAACTGGGTGCGTCTTATACAGTGGTTGTAGGTTTTTTACTTGCATTTCCCGCTTTTTCACGCTTGTTGTCTTTGCACTCATTGTTTCGCACTTGTTACCGGTATATTATTACAATAGGCTAAGTTTTGCCACGTTCTGCCCAGAAATGGCTCAGAAAAGATTTTCGTACAGTGCTGAATTCAAGTTAAAAGCGATCCAGTTTGCAAAAGTGAATGGAAATCGTGCTGCTGAACATAAGTTTGGTCCTCCTCCAACTGAGAAAACAATCCGAGGCTGGCTACGGGAAGAAGAAACCCTACTGAAAACGCCACGGCAGAAGAAGGCCATGAGAGGCAATATATGAAGACAGTGATTCGTCATCAGACACAGATGAGGACAAGCTAATGGTTGTGAGTTGTGACAGTGATGAGGAGTTGTATGAATTTTATGATGAATAAAACTTGAGTTCAATAACTTTAATACATTTTTTTCAAATTTTGGGCCCCAATATTAAGGTGCATCTTATACATGGGAGCGTCTTCTACATGGGGAAATGTGGTATGTACTACATCTTCTTTACCCAATCATCTATTGATGGGCATTTCAGTTGTTTCCATATCTTAACTATTGTGAATAGCGCTGCAGTAAGCACAGGGGTGCATATATCTTTTTGAATTAGTGTTTTGGATTTCTTTGGATAAATACTGAGGAATGCAATTGCTGGGTCATAAGGTAGTACCATTTTAAATTTTTTGAGGAACCTCCATAGCGGCTGCACCAATTTGCAATCCCACCAACAGTGCACAAGGGTTCCCTTTTCTCCACATCCTCACCAATGCTGCTTTGTTGATTTATTGATGATGGCCATTCTGACAGGTGTGAGGTGGTATCTCATTGTGGTTTTTATTTGCATTTCTCTGATGATTAGTGACATTGAGCATCTTTTCATGTCTATTGGCCACCTGTATGTCCTCTTTGTTGAACTGTCTATTCAGGTCCTCTGCCCATTTTTTGTTTTTTTGGTGTTGAGTATGAGTTTTTTATAAATTTTGGATATTAACCCCTTATCAGATGTATCATTGGTAAATATCTTCTCCATTCAGTAGGATGTCTTTTCATTTTGTTGATGGTTAAAACTTTTTAGTTTGATGTAGCCCCATTTATTTTTTCTTTTGTTTCCCTTGCCTGAGGAGATATATCAGTGAAAATATTACTAAGGGTGATGTCTGAGAGTTTACTTCCTATATTTTAGGACTTTTATGGTTTGGGGTTGCAGTGACACTCTGAATTCCCAATGTGCCCTAGCTCAGAATGTTTTATATACCCATTTTCCCTGTCTTTGAACCTCTTGTGTATATGGGGTCTCTGACTCTCACATATGTTGGGTTCCCATATGCACAAAATTAAATTTGATTTTCTCTTGTCAGTCTGTCTCTTGATTTTT